GCAAAACATTTAATTCCCGATAAATTGTTGATAGCGGCTTCTATATTGGGAATAGGAAAAGAGTCTGAGCATATTTTATGATTTACTCCTATTTTAAAGTCCCCATATCGTTAAATCCTCATCTGCTTTTCGCAAGAGTGCAATGGAAGAGACCCATTTACTGCCACCAGGTGGAACATGCACCAAAATTACCTCCTCTAATATTTTCTTTAACTTAGAAACTACCAAAGGTAGAAGGTGAATAGGTACTTTACGAGGTTCAAAATAAAGGTGTGGGGGGTATTATTCTGATTTCATTTATACTCGTTTTATACTCCTTCAACACTCCCGTTTATACTTTCCCTGATTTTACTTTACTGATTGATATCAACGTAGTTACCTTTACAACATCTATATTTAGTAGTCCATGATTTTTTTTTTACATTTCACAATTGTAGAGGAATAATTTCAAATCGGACACAGGTTTCAAAAGTGCCCTTGAAATATTCCAAAATCAAATTGTCTCAATTTCAGTTGACATTTTCTCAATTTCGGTTTATCAACTTTTTTCACAGAAACATCAAACTATTTAATTTATTTTTTTTCAAAAGAATTCTTTAGGTTTTGTATTGAAAAATGTCATCGATTTTTCACTTTTTATATACAGTCTATTTTCTTTTTAATTTCGCATACAGATTGAAAATGATTTTCTCTTCGGCAGTTATAGGAATTTTTTTTCAAAAGCAGGTACTTTTTTCTGTCAATTTCATGCTCATAGTTACATTATTTGCATTTCTTTTTTATACTGTACATTTCAACATTGTCCGCAGTAGAATTATAATTTTTATCAATTCTAATTTTTGTATAACTTCCACACATGCGCTTAGAGAATATTTGTTACAATGCAATTGTTCCAAAATCTTATATTTATGAAATGTATGTCATATGTTCAGTCAACTGTAATTGAGTCAATTCATCTTCAATAGTCAAACCTCGACTTAATCTTGAAGATATTGCATAATTGACTCCTCTTGGTTTCTTTCTGCTATGACAAGTTTCTTTTGAGATTGTAAACTTCTTTTTATAATTTCTGGAATTTCGACAAAAGTCAAATTCTCCAGAATTTTCATTATAGCCTCCCAAACTGCCGAAGTTAAAAAGAGGTCAGTTATTTATTTTTCTCCCACTCTTAACTGTTTTTTTTTTTTTTCAATTTTTTAATTTAATAAATCTATGAATTTACTCAGGCAAAAATGAAGTATCAGTTTAAACCTAAAACACTGTAGTGAATTCATCTCTCAATATATGACTGGTTAGTATTTAACTTAAATGCAACACAACACTTCGGTTGATGTACATTTTCTATAGTTGCATAAATTATAATTCATACACTAGTGGTATAAAGAAGTATCCTTATATCACGGGTGTATGTATTATAATTTATGTAACTAGAGAAGATTTATCAAATTCGTCAAATAAGTGAAACCTCTTCAACAGTTAATTTTCAAAATTGCTTTCAAATTGATTATTCTTGTATACAAAATTATCGACACCAAGCCAATGTATGTTTAGCCCTTTTGCACTCGTGTATAAATCACCAGTTATTCAAAATGGCCGAATCAAATAATGAAATCTTGATAATTAAGACTTTGCCACCTTGTTCCAGTTTTTACTTCCAATACAATTTTAATTATAATACAACCATAAAAATCTCATAAAAATATTAATTCGACTTCTCTATAAAATGTTAGGTGTTTAAATTGTGTTTTTCTCTAATCAGAAATAGTTTAAATTATTGATTCTGGTCATGGCAACAGAGGTATCACATTAAATGATTTATTTGCATTTTCTAGTATGCTGTGTACCCTTCACCATGGACCATTACTTACCATCATAAGACATCTTATTTTCCAAACATTTCCACTTCCATAACAGTATGGACGGCACCAAATTTAAATATTACAAACTACTATTAGTATTAGTACTTTTTAGTCTCAAATTTAATCTACTTTCACATGAATCTAAAATTCAAAAATATTTTCCCAGCCTTCCAATGCATCTCATTAAATATTTTGTATTCAGTAGTCCACCGCTATTTGGGGAACCAGTTTACCGCGGTACCTGGTATACCGTGGGTGGGTGGTGGACCCTAAGATTTTTCTCTCGTACCCTCAATATAGATCACGTTTTTTTAGTAATTCCACCCTATTTAACTAATTTTTGGGGTCATCTTATCCACGATAGACAGAACAAGCAGCAATCATCAGATAGGTCCTAATTTGTTTTAATAATTACACCTCTTTTTCACAAATTTTACCTTGATTTTGATGATCAAACAGCCCAAATTTTGCAAAATTTTAACACCTCGGCCGTTTCATACCTAATCCAATTGTATTGGTAATAATTACACATGATTACTTTATATTTCTATTTCACGTGCAATCAGAGTTCTTATAATATCGGACTAATTAACAGGAATTCAATCATTGCAATCAGATGCCACGGATGGGGTATAAATAGGAGTACTTTTCTCTGGTTGATCATGTTCAATTTGACCGACTAACAGTAGACATTAAAAATCTCTCATAAATCTCATAAATATAAATAGCGCGTAGTAATTAGGCATCGCAATCGGGAATTGCAAGAGGAACTACTTTTGAGGACGGTTAAAATTTATTGTATAAAAAATCTGCCGTAAAACACTGAAATAATTTGAAATTTCGGGTAATTTTCTTTTGAAGCGCCGCGCTAAGTATCTAATAAAATTTTCCCGAATAGTTATATTTACGTGTAAATTTATCTGCTTAATTCGAAAATAAGAATGAAATTTTGATAAAATCTGCCTTTTTGGAGTTATCGACAATTAAAATTCGGACTCTTTCGTGTCGTGGCAGCCATTACTGGAGTTGTTTGCATATATATGCTGCGGAAAAGACATTCACTTGTTTCGATTATTGCGCACACACTGATGCAAACAAAGCCAATAATAGCTGCCATGCCGTAGTCGACAACGGCACGAATGAAACGGTAGATTCTATAAAAATTTCTTTGTTATTTTCGAATTAGGCATATAAATTTAGAATAAAAATAACTGTTCGGGAAATCTTTATTACATGATTAGAGCATGGTTTAAAAAACAATTTATCCGAAATTTCTTATGGAATCATTTGCATAAATTAGTATAATTTTTTGAGTTTCTTTTCCAGATATTATCTACGGTATATATCGCGAAGTAAGGCAAATAGGGCCCACAAATCAGGTCGGTGTTCAACCTCCTATTATCGCCCCCCCCCATCTCCAACAGCTACCGCGATTCACTTGCAGCGCGGGTCGGCCATCTTGGATCCCAAGGTCCGCGCTATAGCGGTGGACTCCTGTAGAACGAAATGAATTCAATATCTAAAACTTTACTTACCATAGTGTTTTATTCATTATAATTTTCACATGAAAGTAGATTTAGCATATTTTTGACACGATGACGTGTGCTTTAACAAATACAGGAAAGAAATACTCATGTTTTTTATATTACAAAAAAAGGACGCTTTAAATATCTCTTTTTTTTTCTTTTCCATGTAGTGATAAACAAACATATTCACAATTAACACATTTTATTTTGAAATTTCTTAATTAGTAATGAAGATATTTTTCTTAATATGGTGGATGTGACAAATTTTCGTATCCCAAGTCGGTGAGATTCTGCAGTGTCATGCCGGCAATAAAATGGCCGGGCATTGTCATGAATCAGAATTTGATCTCGTTGATTAACCAGTGTTGATCGCATTTTGCTTAACTGAATGTGCATTTCATTCAGTTGTTGGCAGTAAACTTCAGCAATGATGTTCTGCTTAGATTCTAGAAAGCTGTAAGGGGTAATGCCAATCGCGGACCACTAGAAAATCACCATAATCTTTTGTTGGTACAATTTCCCTTTTGGATTGTGTTTGTTCTTCATGGTGGAACTATTGCGCCGATCGTTTACGAGTGTCATGAAGGTCCTTTTCTCGTCACTATTCGATTAAGAAATGGAGCCTTCGAATTTCACAGACGAAGCAGCAAAAAGACTCGAAAATGTTGAACTCTTTAACTTTCACTGAGTTGATATTGAACTCATAAATCGAGGATAACATGGTATAATTATAATTCAAATATATGTTTATCCAGAAGATTTTCGCAATATCGATTGGTTAAAAGACATTTTATTGTGAAAAAATTAATTTACATATATATTATATATATATGTGTGTGTGTGTGTGAGAGAGATAGCGAGAGGAAGACAAAGAGATATAAATAAAAATATCATACTTATTTTAAAAACAAAATATATGTTACTTATCAAAATAACATATCTTTGCCATGTCAGTAAAAAAACAGAAAAGTACAAATTTTACTAAGTGGATTCTATTTTAAAAGCTGATAACTTGCGTTTAAAAGCATTTCGGAAAAGTAGAAATATTTTCAAATTTTCAAAAGATCTTTTGCATTTGTGCATTATCTCGAAATACTATATTGACCGTCTTTGGGAAAATCCGAATTAGGGTAGGTATTTGTCTTTTTCTCTGCCTTCTATTCGATCTTTGAATTTTACAAAACGGCATCATCTCAGTGCGAAAATCTTTGTAAAGGTTCGGTGAAAAAGTAACGTTTTCTTCTCGTGGTAAGCAAATACATTTCCCAAGTAGGTGCCGCCCCAAGGTGTTACTGAATAATAACATTATTTTGGCTTTAGCATACTCAAATATTAACACTAAAATTCTTCTGCACTTAAAATAAATCATGCTTATTTCAAGTTAAGAAATATCATAACAAACATGATTAAACTAAAACTAATAAAAAGCAATTCAGATTTAAACATTTATGGAATGTGGGTTACGTTTCCAGTTTTAGCATTTGTGAATGTCAAGTTATTTATTTTTTACTGGTCGGAATGTACTTTCATTTGGACTTGTTGGTTTGAATTTGAAATATCAATTCCTCTTAAAAACAAGATTTTCTTTTATATGAAAAAAAAGTATGGGGACATTTTAGGGCTTCTTAGTGTCAATTTTAGGAAGAGTACGGGCAGTAGCAATAAAGATGAGAATCGGGAATAAGGCACATCCAGTTTTACTCATCAGTGGTGCCATATGACCCGCCAAATGACTGAGGCTGGCTCCTGCATGGGTAATAGCGCTGTAGATTGCAACGTAGCCAAAACCTGACCATGAAATCATGGAGATGAGGATAAAAATCCCAGCAATCTGAATAAGAATAATAAAAAAGGAAATATCAATATAAATTACCATAATGATTCGAATTTAATAAAAATTCGATGTTTATCAATTCTGTAATAGAAATCTAGCAATGTTAACTATAATAGTACCAGCTTCCAGCTGCTACTATTTGGTCATATTGGTTATGGTTGTAGTGAAGGTAGTTTACAAAATACTAAATTATTGTTTCTTTAGGGTCAAAGGGTCGCATGCCAAAAGATATAGTGGATGAAATAAAATACAGGGAAAAGAGTACTCACTTCTTTTTTAGTTATATTAGTACAAAACGAATACAAATTATAATTATTTAAGATTTATCTATATTCATATACATTAATTACATACCAGAACTTTGTCTGTCATATTACGTTTGTGAATAAACTTTCGGAGAGACGAGTTCGAATTCCAGTCGAATCCATTACATTCACTTACGTGCTAATACCCTTGGGAAAGGTATGAATCCTCTTCTCTCCCTCGGCTATGGGTAAATAGCAGGACAGACCGGTTTCTGTAGCCTTGGATAGCAACTGGTCTGCCGCAGAAAGAAATGGCAACCTACTGCGGGAAAAAAATCTGCCTCGTCAGTCATGTATCGAAAGATATATGATCGCCTAGGTGTGTATCACGCATGGCACATAACTGAACTGATATTTACCTACGTACTAATAACCTTGGGAAAGGTATGAATCCTCTTCTTCTTCTCCCCAGCTATGGGTAAATAGCAGGACAGACCGTTTTCTGTAGCCTTGGATAGCAACTGGTCTACCGCAGAAAGAAATGGCAACCTACTGCGGGAAATAAATCTGGCTCGTCACTCATGTATCGAAAGATACATGATCGCCTAGGTGTGTATCATGCATGGCACATAACTGAACTGATATTTACCTACGTGCTAATAACCTTCGGAAAGGTATGAATCCTCTTCTTCTTCTCCCAAGCTATGGGTAAATAGCAGGACAGACCGGTTTCTGTAGCCTTGGATAACAACTGGTCTACCGCAGAAAGAAATGGCAACCTACTGCGGGAAAAAAAATCTGCCTCGTCAGTCATGTATCGAAAGATACATGATCGCCTAGGCGTGTATCACGCATGGCACATAACTGACTGAAGTTTCAGCTATTATTTGAAGCTTTGTAAAGTTAAATATGATTTCATCACATATAAGGAAGATTTTCTGAAAACCAACGTAAAATTTGAACTGATTTGACAGTAACTCACGTAACATTTGAATTACTTGAGGTAAACCACATCCATCATATATTTTGTGCGTTACAAAGCAATGGGCACTGGCTCATATATTGATATCTAATAACAATTTTTACCATATTTATTTTATTTCATAGTGTTTACATGATTCAAATATTCTATAATGTTTGTTTTGATCAAGTAGTATGTGACATAATCTGCCCACGATATTCTAATTTGTAAGCCGCTGCTCATGTCAGGCTGGCTTGCAGGATATGGGTTGCAAGTTAAAATCTTGTTGGACACGAATTTTTTATTATTGACCCATGCTGTTTAAATGATCGTTGCAGAATATAAAAACGATTCAAGCATTGCAAAAACAATAAAAATTAAATGAAAGAAAAATTAGCCAAAATTTAATAATGAAAATACTTCATCTAAGACTTCTGGATAATTCAGCATATCTTTTAATACAAAAAATATATTTATCTGTTTATCTTTTTTCAATTTAATATTCATCTTCATAAAGAAAGGGAAATTTATCTGACACTAGAAAATCATTAGAGTTTTACTTATCAAAACCATCTCCCATTTTATTTACTTAATTTAGAAAAACAATTTTCTGAATATTTCAAATGAATTTTATGAATTTTTAAAATCTCTTTATCTAATTTAACAGTTTTACTTACAGCAGTTAATTGTTCTTCTGAGAGAATATCTTTGTCCTTCTCCTTTTCAGCGTCTGGAATTGAACTCAAACTGGACCAAGCCTTAGTGACGGCATACCAACCAGAAATCATGGGAAAGACAAACGAAAATACAGCCAAGAAAAAGATAAAAGATTGGTAGCTCTCGTCAGATAAACTGTAGTTGATAGTACAAGAAGTTCCATGAACTTCCAGGCCATATCTGTTTAAAGAAAAAAGGACAAATATTTTAGTTTCTGTAATTTTGCATTGAAAAAATTTTGCATTTTTTACGAAAAATCCAGCAGAATTAAGCAACTACTTGATATAAAATAAGTGATAAAATACTTAAGTATAAGTTATCTAACATCTAAGCATAGTGTTATACCTGACATACCTATTCTATTATTAATAGACTTTCCCACACATAATAAGTAGTAGTAGTAGTAGTAGTAGTAGTAGCGGTCGCCAGTTGGGCTCAGTGGTGTTGAGTGAGTCAGCCGATGTCGGACATTGAAGTATCAACCATCACAACTAGATTGCTGCGTCATTAACTACTATTGCAAGTTCCTAACGTTTTGTACGTCGGACTCTTTTAGGATAGACTTAGTGAAATACAAGCCTCCACTGTGAAAACTACTCTACAACACATTGGCGACGATTGATTCGTTTCTCATACGGGAAAAGAAAAATTTTTCGTTCACTCTATAACAACTTTGGCGGCCAGGATTCGAAATTCATACGGAAAAAAAATTTAAAGAAAAAAAAATCGTTTCGCCATATACAACACTTGGCGACGAACGTATTTTGGATTCATGCGGAAAAAAAAAAAATTCGTTCACTCTACAACACTTGACGTGAATTCGTAACTCATACGGTGAAAAAAAAAAAAAAATTGACCCGCCATAATAAACGCGGATTCAGTTTCATACAGTGAGAGAAAAAAAATTTCGCTCGCCACGTTATTTAGTGACGAAATTCGTTTTTTATACGGAGGAAAAAAAAAAAAAGAAAAAACTTGCTCGTCAAATTTGCGGCGATAACATCTCGGATTCACATTTAAAAAAAAAAAAAAAAAAACTTGGAAAAGTTTTTTCGAAAGACAAGACGTCAACTTAGTGACGAAAAAATCAGTCGTATTCTCAACTGAGTAAAGAATTTTTTTTTCTCCATAAGACAGTTTGCTCAAATAGGTCACGAATTGCAAATTCGATTTGGACCCCCCTCTACAATATTTAAGCATTGTGTAAACTTTTTGCGAAGATGGAGGAATGCAAAAATATATTCCAGGAATTGTTTAAGTTCCAGACGGAATATCAGATGACAATATTGGAGCAGCAGAAAACATTCCAAAGGCAACTGCAAGAGGAAACCTTTAATAGACAGATACAGTTTCAACGAGACATGAAACAGATGCATAAGGAGTTTCAAAACAAAATTCTGGAAATAACTGAGAAAAGGAAAGAGAAAAATTTACAAAATGTTTCTTTCCCAGAGAATACAATATGGAATTCGATTGAAATATTCATGTACAGTCCAGACGAAGAGATAACTTTTGAAGAGTATTTTAAAAAATATACAGACGTGTATAACGCGGAATGCCACACGTGGTCTGAAGGAAAGAAGGTTAGACTTCTTTTAAGCAAGTTAGGAACTGCTGAGGATAACAAATTGGTGAACTACATTTTACCGAAAAAAACTAGCGAGTTAACTTTTACCGAGGCGGTAAATATATTAAGTGAATTATTTAGTAAAAAGACATCTTTGTTTCACAAGAGGTGGAAATGTTTGAATCTGATGAAAGAGGATGAACAAGACTTTATAACGTATGCAGTTAATGTGAACAAGCATTGTGAAGAATTCAAGCTAGCAGACTTTAGCGATGACAACTTTAAGTGCTTAGTATTTGTTCAAGGTCTAGTATCAGAAAGAGACGCAGAATTGAGGAAATTGGTACTTTCAAAATTGGAAAACCAACAAAGTATTACGATACAGAGTTTGGCAGAAGACTGCACAAGATATGTTAGCATAAAGAAAGACTCGAAAAAGATAGAACAGTCTGGCATTTCGCATGTAAGGAAAATACGCTATAAAAAAGAAAGTCAGTCTACCAAAAAGAATTCTAAAATTGCGGATTACCAAACAAAAAGCGAAATACCAGAAAAAATAAACAGAAACTCCCGAAGCCATGTTTTGCTTGCGGTGAACTTCACTGGTACAGATATTGCAATTTTAAGAATAAAAAATGTTTCAACTGTGAAAGAGTGGGGCATAAAAAGCTCGCACTGCAGGTCAAAAAATAAAGACAATAAAATAAGAAAATTAAAGTCCGACGAAGTGAACGACGGAACAACCAGAAAATTTGTTACCGTCGAAATAAGTAATAAAAAAATAAAAATGCAACTCGACACTGGTTCCGACCTATCTATCGTAAATTTGAATACGTGGAAGAAGTTGGGAAACCAACTTTAATGAAAACAAATAAAATCGCGAGGTCAGTGACGGGAGAAAAATACAATTTATTGGAGAATTTGTTACAAACGTCACGTTAAATAAAAAAAACGCGAAAGGCTAAACTATTTGTCATAAAAAATACCACGAACTTACTTGGTACGAATTGGATAACAGAATTTCAATTATGGGATTTACCGATAAATTCTTTGTTACAAGGTTGAAAATTTAAACTGCGAAGCCCAAAAATTACTACAGAAACTTAAGGGAACTTTTCTTACTGTTTTTTCTCCAGGTTTGGGAATGTGTACCAAGATGGAGGCAAAATTACAGCCAAAACAAAACGCTCAGGCGATATTCAAAAAAAATGGAATGTGCTGTTTGCTTCAATTGAACAGATAGATAAAGAATTGGACAGATTAGAGAAAAACGGCGTATTTAAAAAAGTTGAGTGGGTAACACCGAAAATATATGTGAAAAACAAGCTCCAGAAAGTAAAGATGAAGCCGACACCGAGAAAAATTGAGGAGCAAGTTACACGCAGCCAAGGACATGCAGTATTATTAAATGAGTTGACAACAAAAAGAACCTACAGAAACTATGAGTCCATCTTTAAGAAGCGCAAAGCGGAAGGTTGTTTCTGGTAACACTATGGAAATAAAAAAAAAATAAATAAATAGAAAAGCGGATTGGCTATATGACGTACTTGGTGAAAGGGGAAAAACTCACGTGCAGTAAACAGATCAGACGACGTTTTTCAGACGTGGTTGACAGCGATCCCGGGGGAAAAAAACGCCGATGGTGGTGATTTTCAATAAGTTTGATCTAACAACCCCTGCAAATAATTTTACCTAAAGTACGCCGATCAAGAAGAAAAAAAAAAGGCAACTGATCATTTAAAAGTGGATCAAAAACGTAGGAAATACGCTACGATGTTGCTAAAAAAAATTTTTTTTTGTTGTTTTTTCTTCAAATTTTCTGTAAGAATTTGAAGAAAACTTTTTACTCCTACGGAATAAAGTTTTAAGGGGGATGTTATACCTGATGTACCTATTCTATTATTAATAGACTCTCCCACACATAATAAGTAGTAGTAGTAGCGGTCGCCAGTTGGGCTCAGTGGTGTTGAGTGAGTCAGTCGATGTCGGGCATTGAAGTATCAACCATCACAACTAGATTGCTGCGTCATTAACTACTATTGCAAGTTCCTAACGTTTTGTAGTCTTTTAGGGCAGACTTAGTGAAATACAAGCCTCCACTGTGAAAACTACTCTAGTTAGAATGTATTACTTACACCAGATAATTTAAACTTAAATTTTGCATATCACAATGAAAGTGTAAAATAAAAATTATGTTGTTATTATATATGGTTCTGTTATTCATGTTAATTTTGTAGCAAGAAATAATAAATAAATATTTCAAATATAAAAAATACATTTTCGCTTTTCAGTATATAATTTTTAGGTAATTAGATTTATTTTAATATGGAAATGAAATGTTATACTTGTGTGGTATTTTCATGTGTGGAATCTGTATGAACCATATTTGTCAACATCTTCTTTTGGGTATCATTTTATTTTTACACTACTGAAGAAAAAGTGACCTCCCCGTATTTCGATATAAATTGTACACTTGAAAAATGATATATTGGGTTGGTGCATAATTATCAGGCGTTTTTGTAGGCGAATTATTTGTTAATAAAAAATGTTTTGTTTACTTTGTTTTAATAAAAATATTATTTTATTTTCAGGTTATAAAGACAAGTGTCGATAATCATACTCATTTAAAAATGTTATTGTTGAATTGTTATGTTTCTTTTATTATTTTAAAAAAAAACTGATAATTATGCACCAACCCAATACAAGAGATTGGTTTAATCTTTAGGGTAATAGTAAACGCAAATAAATAAATAAAATAGAACGATACGAATACCTATTGAAAAACTGAAAGCAGTTTTATTCTTGGTGCGTATATTTTTGAATATCAATAAGACTACTGACAACAAATTATCCTCTTTGGAAAGCAATATTTTTTTGATGGATTAATATGTCATCCCTCAAAGTTATACACATATTTAACACAATTTTCTGTCAGTAGAATTATCGTTCAATAAATTAACAAATAAAATTATTCCTTGATTTCATATATCGTCAGGATACTGTGATATTTCCTTCATAGCATTTCTCTGGATAATACAAGTTTCATGTCGGTGCCCATTTCCTTTCCAATAATTGGCAACTTTTTGTACTAGGTCACGTGGTATCAGAGACACAAGGTAATCCCAGATTAGGAGAAATGGATGTATGTATTTGTTGTAGTCAGAATAAATACAAAATACGTCAGCTGACATTCGGATTTTGTTTTCCGTATTGATAACCGTTTATTTAATCCATTTATTATCCTCTTTCTATTGCGGAAATCTATTCTGACCTCGATAGACTTCATTGTTTTCCTTGAAAAGGCTTTATTGTAACTATCCTATTTGTCAATTTGCAAAGTCAATAGATACAAAGCTTAATATAGTAAGGCAATACATCAAAGGAAAATAATTCTGTTGATGTCATTAGTTCCTGTGGTCAGCCAAAAGTTTAGAATTTTTCTATTTTTAAGGGATCATAATTTACTAAACATTTAACCGGAAATTGCTTATTAGGATGGAAAACTAGTAATACAAAATTTCAGTTTGATTTTTTCTTAAATACCAAAATTGAAAAATTCATGTTTGCGACATGAGAATACATTCTTTTAAAAAATAATTTCACAAAGCTCATGCAACACACACACACACACACACACACACACACACACACACACACACAACTTGTCATACCAACTTTAGATATATAAGAATACAGAGTAAAAATATGATTTTATTTTAAAAGTGCCCTTGTTAACAAAAGAGGACATTAAAAATCAAGCACATTTCAAACAATTATTTAGAAATATCTATAACAATAAGTATGCCGAATAGAGGAAATATAATATATTATAAATTGCGGGAGAAAAATATCTGGGTGCTTTTTCTTACGTGCTGTTTAGGTGAGAAATTTAAATTCGTATGCTCTTTTAACATTTGGGCCATTTGCGCCATTTTCAGAATATTGTAAGAGGTAGAATAACAGAAAAAATACCGTTTTTATTCTATAGAAAATACCAAACATAATGAGAAAGAATCAAAGAAAATATGAATCTCAGAATTTCGACGAAATGTGCCTTCCGCAAAATGCATAAAATTAAGTAAAATTTCAAAGAATATTTACTTTCAAAATTATAAGAAATGCATACCTAATATTAAAAGTTTTCTTCCCGCAACCGTAGTAACCAATTTTAGAGCTCAGCTGCTTCACGGGGTATCTGCTATGAATTATCTTTATTATGAATTTATATTGTAAACAGAGAAGAATCCTAAACTCTTGAAGTACCCGACCGAAATAGACCTTTCTCGACAATTTTTCAATGCGATTTTGAAATTCAACCTATTGCTGTTAGTCACAAGAGTTTTTTTTTTATTAAATAAAGACATATTTGAAGAAATTTTAATATAAAGTTTATTTTATATATATATATATATATATATATATATATATATATATATATATAAACTATATATATATATATATATATATTTATATATAAATATATATATATAAACTGTATATGAAGTTTCTATTTTTCATAAAAGGGAGATTTGGGAAATTTTGCATACTCCTAGTATAATACGCGTAACTATAACTGAATTATAAACAGAAACAAAAAAAAACAACGTTTCATAGATGAAGATTAGAACTAATAGAAAACGCTTGCATTCGACAGTCTTCAGCGAAAGGTGGGTGAAAGAGGCGAGCTTGGTTCGTTTGAACGGGGCTAGCCTTGATTTTCTCCTTTAGGTCAACCTACGTCATATCGGGGTGGTTTCCTGCAGAGCCCTTCCCTCGGTTAGGTTAGACAAGCTTTAGTGTACCTAGATAATATGAATAAGTGTTGTTCCTGGCCTGTTCCCAGCTGCCTCTTTGGTTATGATTCAAGTAGAGATTTTCATCTTTTCCCATGCCCGTATTATTTTTTATCCTTTTCCCACACCCGTAGAGAGAGATCTTCTTGATTTTGTCCCATGGGCAGAATGCAGCGGTCTCTCCTTTTTGAGGGTTGGACGGGCCCTACTAACATCAATTATGTTTAATTTGATTTGTGTTAATATTTCAGTTTGTTACTGGGTTCACCTCCCTCCCCTCTCATTTTTTCATCACAGATTTTATATATATTTTACTATCATTAAATATTTATGGCATGAGGCGCGTTTTGTAGGTCCCCCAAGAAAGGATGTGGTATTATGGTGCATGGAGGATTGATTGGTGATGGACGAGTTCTTGTGGTGAATGAGTAAATTGTAATGAGTGAATGGGTCGTGAATTGGATTAGCTAGGTATAAGATAGTTAGTGTGGACCAGCATTAACCCCTCCCCTTCTTCGACCTTGTGCCACCATTATGTAATTTTTACATAATAAATGTCTAGAAATATACAGTCTCTAATTTTGAGAAGAATCATTATCATTCTAAGACTTGTTGAGAATATCAAAAGCAACACAAAGAACTAATTCAGTCGAATGAATCTTCGAAAGATTAATGTAAACATATTGGAAATTTGAACGATTTTTCTTATAATTCCACTGATGTTGAAAAGTAAAATTATCCATTTTCTCATGTCTATTCTCATCTTTTACATTTTGCTTGCATCTTCTAACTTTCTTCCTTAACTCATATTTAATGGCCCGTCAATGATTTTCACAAAATGTTACAAAAACATCGATAAGTTTCATACGCGAAAATGGAATAAAGACCGCACAAATATTTTGTATTGAATCCTTTCTTTAATCTTTCTTTTGTTCTATCTCTCCATAAATAATTTTAATCTATTACAATTCATAAGCTTTTCTTTCGTCGCTAATTGTTTTATGATATTTAATAAATAAAACTGTTGATATGTCTTTCTTTTCTCTTATTCATCTCTATTTCTCTCTCTTTCTCTCTCTTCCTTTCCTTTGCTTTTCATTTTAGTCTAACTTCCTCGCCTCCCAGATTTATTCCTTCACACTCCCTCCCCTTCTCTCCACTTTCTTCAATTGATTCTCGCTAAATATTTTGATGTAAATTGTGCCGTTAGAAAGCGTAACCTGTACAAAAAAAAAAAAAAAAAAAATCAGTGGCCGAGAGATGCTACATTTAAAACATAGAAAAGCGTAACTGTCATACATATATATAAGTAGCTATTTACTTGACCCCTCACTGAGTCAGGATGTGACACAAGGTCAGTTTTTAAAGTGGGGAACCCGAATGTTTCCACTCGGGTCGCTGGTCTAAACCTGGTCTTAGCTGGTCATAGCTTGTCCAAGCTGGTCAGAGCTGGTCTAAGCTAGTCATAGCAGTGATACTTACCAGCCCAGGGACAAGCCCTGTGCCAGGTAAGTATAATAAAATATAGACACTCCAGAATTTCCAAATCAATGTGTTTTCAACGGAAAAAAAGCGCAAAAAAGTCAATGTAATTATGACGCCACTTCGATGACGTAAATAAAACAAAATTTTTAACCGAAATTTCGAACGTATTAAAAAGGATTAAAAAATTTAAAATAGTAAAAAATACTTTGGTCTTTCATCTTAATAATAACATAAACATTTTGACGATAAAACTTTAATTTTATTAAGTTTGTGGCCTTTTTCATTACGTTATGCTGTTTTCCCGCGAAAAGTGGAGGTGCCTAATGTTGACGCCCCAGAAGGTATGACAGTTATAGGATATTAATTTACACTCAAGATCAAACATATATGCAAATATACTTACGTTCCCCATCCAAGTAAAGGCATTGTTGCCCAAAAGGTTCCAAAAATGTACATCAATGCAATTATTACTGTGTAATAAATAGACGGCATTTGGTTATCTGGAAATTAAGCATAACGGACATTTTAATATTCGAATTTCTTAAATAAATGCAGCATTGCCAATTAGAACTAATGTTTTGGTTAGTCTTTCTTTCATTTTATTTATGTTACTTTTTACCACGACTACCATAATACAGTTTTACAGTATGCTATATTTATGGGTAAAAGTGCCCTATATCAAGGATAGATAATGTGCAAATATAAGAGGAGACTGACGTCACCACCGAGTGGTAACAGTGTGTTTCATGCTCGAACGCTTGGCTTGATGATTGTTTTTCAAGAATGAACATACTGTCGTCATTCGGTGTTGACCTTAGAGTGTTCTTATCTCTCTGTCTGTCTTTCTGTCTGTCTGTCTCTCTCTCTCTCTCATTTACATATATATATATATATATAAAACATGAGGCAGCAAGATTTTCTACAGACAGGTTTTATAAATTCAGTTGATAAGATCTGTTTATCTTATTTTTGTATTTTCCAATTGCTGTACATCGGAATGAAAACGATGTATAAACTGCCCAAAATTCTTGTTTTATTTTATTTTTGTTACTGCGTCGTGACTTTTTTGGAACGCTAGAATTTAAGTATACGTCTATCGTATAAGAAATATCATGTGTAAATCGGTTATATGTAGCTGACGGCACCGTAAAATAATGCATAAGCTATTTATACCTATTATTATTATTTTTGTTGTTATCATTTGTGTATGTTATGTTTCTTGGTTCATAACCTGTAGAGCTGCGTCCAAACTATGATCCTTAGTCCCTATAGGAGAATTGTCATACTTTTCTTAGAATGTTCCTAGTAGGGCGATCTTCTGGGCAACTTGTATGTTGATGTTAACTGGGATATTGTTAGTAAAATTGCCTATTCCTTTTCTCTCGAGGCCCAGAGCTCCGATAAAAAATGTTGTTACTATTATTATTTTATTTCCTTTGGTTTCTGGTGTATACTCATTTCTTTCCGGGTCCCGACCAGAGACGTAAGGTCAGAAAATGGCATCATGACATTTTTCAATGAGCAATTTTGAAAAAGAAGATCCCACATATTTTGGCATGGGTTACCAGGAATTCCTTCAATGAGTCTATTGGAATATTTTCCATTCAATCCGAAGGCTTCCATCTACAACAGGAATTCTTGATGCTTTCTTGATGTGCCACATTATTAGATTTCGATTTCAAGGTTCTTGTATTTTGAAATTTTTTGAAGATCTTCAAAAATACATTGCAGTCTGCAGGGACTGCAGCCATGTCAATAAGGGAACACATTAAGTCTTTATGGTCTCTAATCACGATGCCTAGGCGATTACCTTTCATTGTTCTGTCGTGTGTATTGTGAAGTCCCATAAAATTGTTACAGGTCATATCTCCGTAACTAAATCTAGATAGTGTTCTAGATGGTATTCATACCAATTTCTTGCAGTTTACTTTCCGTAAGTGTTGCAGATTTTCCAGTGCAGATATTGGCCCAGTCTGTCGTGCCGTGTTTATATTTAGTGGGTGCTAATCCTACGCAACCTGATACAAGATGGTCAATTGTTTCGGGATATTGATCCCAGAATCTGCATTTGGGCTAACACAATTTTTCAATATGTGTGCTCTGTAATTTCTAGTTAGAAAGCATTGGTCCTGTGCAGCAAAAATAAAACATTCCGTTTCAGCTTTTAACCCAACACTACATAGCCACTGATGGGTATGTCGTTTGTCTACATCAGCTTGTTTGGTACGGGCAGAGTACTGACCGTGAAGCGGTTTATATTGCCATCTTTTCTGTATTTGGTCGGTTGCATTTGCCTTTGCTTTCTTTTTTTAAGTATTTTGCAGCTTCACTCGGTGTATTATGCTTTACTTGTATTTCTTCACCCACTTGAAACTCCATTTTAGACTTGTTGGCTTTCTTTATCACTGAATAAATTCGTTTACTACTTTCATGTTCTTTGATACAGATCATCATCCAGTATCTTTGAAGGCCAATTGTTGTAGTTTTGTAATGCCTAGTTGAACTAATCCTCTGCCTCCTTTGGATCTGGGCACACACAGACGATCAACATCAGCCTTGCGATGGTGCATGCGATGGCAGGTGAGAAGCTTTCTCGTTTTGGCTATGATCCAGCTAAGGATGTTATTGTCTATTAAATAATTTATACACATTTAAAATACCGAACTCTATGGTGAAATATATTTTATAGAATTCTGGTTGATACTTTTCTATAGTATTAGCCTCTAATATCTTGAGTCTCCCTTGTAGAGAATGCTAAATTCTGGTATTATCTACTAATATTTATCTAATGTGAAGAGTTGTCTTCTGAAAGTTTGAGGTGTGCTGATAGAATTACACGAATCTTCAACGAGTGACAAGTCAATCTACGGTAGAGTGTGGTGCGCGTGGGACTAAGGCAAGAATCTAATATTATTCTTTGAATATTGATATTGGAGATGTAATCTCCAAAAGGAGGTGGGAAGTTTTATGCACCATTGTTTTTTATATAAAATTTTTTTTTTAAATCCCGAATTATTGGTAATAATTAGATTAGATTATTTGAACGTTTTATAATAAATGGTCAAACGTAAGTATTTATTGGAATCTTTAACCCTTTGAGCCTTGCGTTCCTGAACTATTTTAACCCTTCCTGCTTGAGATCCTGAGTCAAAATTCGCAAATAATTTGTATGTAATGTTTCACGGTAGATATAAAAATAGTTACAAGTGTTTACCCACCGTTCAACTCGTAGCTGGGCATAACGTCATTTTCTCTACTACCGTTCAACCGGTGGCTTGGCATAACGTTTTTTTTCTCGACCACAGTTCAACCCATAGCTGGGCATGACGTCTTTTTTCTCTACCACCTTTCAAGCGTTGGCTGGGCATTACGTCTTTTTTCACTACCACCGTTCAACCGGTGGCTGGGCATTATGTCTTTTCCCTCTATCACCGTTCAACCGTTGGCTGGGCATTACGTCTTCTTTCTCTACCACCGTTCAACCCGTAGCTGGGCATGACTTCTTTTTTCACTACCACCGCTTAACCGGTGACTGGGCATGAGGTCTTTTTTCTCTACCACCGTTCAACCGGTGGCTGGGTATTACGTCTTTTATCTCTACCACCGTTCAACCGGTGGCTGGGCATTACGTCTTTTTTCTCTACCACCATTCAACCGTTGGCTGGGCATTACGTCCTTTTTCTCTATCACCGTTCAACCCGTAGCTGAGCATGACTTCTTTTTTCACTACCACCGTTTATCCGTTGGCTGGGCATGACGCATTTCTCTACCACTGTTCAACCCTTAGCTGCGCATGACTTCTTTTTTCACTACCACCGTTTAACCGGTGGCTGGGCATGAGGTCTTTTTTCTCTACCACCGTTCAACCGGTGGTTGGGCATTACTTCTTTTTTTCTCTACCACCGTCCAAACCGTTGGCTGGGCATGACGTCATTTTCTCTACCACCGTTCAACCGGTGGCTGGGTATTACGTCTTTTATCTCTACCACCGTTCAACCGGTGGCTGGGTATTACGTCTTTTTTCACTACCACCGTGCAAACCGTTGGCTGGTCATTATGTCTTTTTTCTCTATCACCGTTCAACCGTTGGCTGGGCATTACGTCTTTTTTCACTACCACCGTTCAACCGGTGGCTGGGCATTACGTCTTTTTTCGCTACCACCGTTCAACCGTTGGCTGGGCATGACGTCTTTTTTCTCTACCACCAGTAAAGCAGTGGTCAGGGCTCAAATAGTTAAGTGATGCGTACCGTTGAATTATATTTCAAATGGTTTTTCAACTTGTTCATAGAGTATATATCGTTACGATAGAATAAGTTAAATGGCATGCTTATTTTTTTTATTTGAACATATATTGAACTTTCCTCAGTCTGTGTGTGTTTGTGTGTGTGATTCTTATGTAAAGTTAGAAAAATGAGTAATGAATATTGTTAGTGGAAAATACTTTTCGCTTTATCTATCAAGTTAACAAAAGAATGTAAGAAAGAATTGCATATATATATATATATATATATATATATATATATATATATATATATATATATAAACGCTTATATAAACGAATATAACAAGATAAAATAAATAATAGAACAACTTAAAAATGGATATTAGTAAGGATTTTTTCAATTCAGTAAATCCTGTTGATTAGATTACAAATACTTATAAAATTGTAGGTCATTCATTTAATCCTAACAGAAACAGACAAAAGTATTTGCTTTTGCTTAGATAAAGATTAAATTTATTTTTAAACACAATGACCTAGTTCATGGCTGTCGAATCAATAAGAAGGTGTTGCGAGCAACCAGTAATATTTCCTCAAACCTTGTAAGATTACATTTTGTTAAAGAAAAAAAACGTTTCGGGTACAACATATACAAAAAGAATTAATCTTCGTTGTTTGATAGATGTAAGAACTAGAACAATAATTCCTATCTGGATTATCGTCTCCTTTCTATTTAAAAATCTATTAATCACACGGTGTTCTTGTGACCTGGTTATTTGATTAAAATGTTTCATTGAATTAACAGCTTTTATTAAGGAAATATAGGACACATCATAGTAAGTCAGAATAGTACGAAGATATGTGAGAGTGTGTATATTCTCCATTACAGTATGGTAAATAATTGTTTGCTTTTCATTACAGAATGGAGAATAATTGCTTGCTCTCTATTACAGTATGGTGTTATAATTGCTTGCTCTCCATTACAGTATGGTGAATAATTGCTTGCTTTTCATTACAGTATGGTGAATAATAGCTATTACAGTATGGTGAATAATTCTTTGCTCTCCATTACAGTATGGTGAATAATTGCTTTCTCTCCATTACAGTATGGTGAATAATTGCTTGCTCTCCATTACGGTATGGTAAACAATTGCTTGCTTTTCATTACAGTATGGTGAATAATTGCTTGCTCTCCATTACAGTATGGTGAATAATTGCTTTCTCTCCATTACATTATGGTGAATAATTGTTTGCTCTCCATTATTGTATGGTGAATAATTGTTTGCTCCCCACTACGGTATGGTGAATAATTGTTGTTTACGAAGCTTATTTTAATTAAGCATAAATCTACACTTGTGGATGACTAAATCAGGATCAAAATCTTCATTTAGAAAGCGGCTTACAAGTCACACTTCCCAATCAGTATGCTGTATTGATAAATCATCAATTAAATCCCTAAAGTGCAATAAAGTTTATTCACTGGTTCTGTTTTTATTACATATTCTATGGAAAGTGTATCATCTAAAACTTAAGTAATGGTTCTTGTGACCTCTCTTCAACACAATGCGCTGACTCATTAACTTGGAAATTATATTAGCAGAACTCTTAAGATATAGTACTTTGATAAAAGCATAATTACACTTGCTACATAGCAATGATTAAAATTTGCTGCAGTAGAATCAAGTAGATAAGCTCATTAATTATTTACAAAAGTGTTTAACTTTTCGATCATAACACTGAACATATCTATCTATATTAGTAAACCAATCACACTATAACCAAATGATGAAAAAGCAGTCTTCTTACACAACAAATATTTCTTTGTTTTTTCAACATAAAAGCTTTCTTAATTCAGTAACGAATAATTTTCACATATAATGATTATAAAACAGTGAAAACTTCAAATCAAAATCTTTGACAAAGGAAATAATGAGATAGAAAGTTATCATTTAAAACTTTAGTGATATATATGACGCTTAAAATTGAAACGTTTCAGCAAATTTGATGGATATATTTAATCTTTAGAAAAAAAAGTGAAGTTAGCATCTTGCTAACAGTGCAAGTAGCTACTTACAGAATTCACGGTGGCATACAGCAACATAGCGTTCCATTCCAAATGCAAAAAGTAACCAAATGTGGGACATCCCAGCAAAGAATCCCCAGAAACCCATTAATTGGCAACCAATGCTGCCATAAAGCCATCTGCAATAAAATTTAATTGTAGCTGATATATAACAACAAAGACGAATAACTTTGTTTATTTTCATTCAGATCAAATCAAATCAAAACATGTAACATAAATGCAAAGATTTGAAATAATTTGCCGTATGAGATTGTTCAGTTAATTTTAAGCAATATCTACCTCTACACAAACACAATATTATGTAAATTTTAACTTTAATCATAACACTAATGTTTATTTAGTGATTAATTCTTGATATAACCGGCGTTAAAAAATTTTTCTCTCTGAGTAAATTTCGTCTCTTGGTAATAAAAATAAGGTAATAAAATAATTTACTGAAACCTGAATCTTGTCAGGCTGCGTGCAAAGCTCCTTGACCAAGTAGTCGAGGGGGCGGTCAACAAAAGTTGAAGGAATAAGAAGTGTTTTTTTTTTATATATACAATTTTATATAACGTGTCAATTTTTGAAAATATTGTCGACCATAGACGACATTATCAGAAAATAAGAGCAGTAAATTTAAAGTCGACATTCCTAAAATTAGAGTACGGAGAATATTTCTCAACATTTTACATATTACTGAGCGTTTAAAAATTATATAAAAAGATGCTTATCCATCATTTTCTTAAATTATGCTTTAACAGATAAAATCTCCGTAGAACACTAAGTCTGTCAACATCTTTATCAGCACTTGTTACGTGATTGACGAGCGATGACAAGATAAAGACTCCGTAGAAAGGTCGTAAATCACCGCTACTATTTGTTTTAAAAATCCATTTTTCTGTTATTTTCAACTTAAAGTAAATAATATTTGTTTTAAGTCAGATTAATACTACTTTAAATCAGCTAATATTTTTCAAATAAAGTTTCAGAAAAGTGTGTTTAAAAGAATAAACTTTTGTTTGCAAATGTGTCAAAATGTGTCATCTTAATGATTTTGCGACCAAAAAGTCCAATCAATATAATTTCTATTTGAAATACACCAGAGTATTTTGCTTACTGGAAATAGTAAATTTAATCTTTTAGCTTTCAAGTAAAGCTAAAAAGAAAGCTTCAAAAATGCTTTTTCATTTTTTTTAAATTCATTTTAAATCTTAGGTATCGAAAATTAGTGGAGGTATCTAACTAAGAGGTTTCCTTTTTTTTTCCTATTTTTCATAGCGGTTATATCTAAAGTAGCATTTATTGAATAAATATATCAAAACTTTTATTCGCACATAATAAATCGTGACACAACATGTACTAGCAAAAAGTTGAAGTGATTTCAATTGAAATTATTTTGTTTAATATTGTACTACGTTGTGATGGCATTATAATTGGTTATTAAGCCTAATATAGTGTGATATAAGGCTGCCAGTATAACGTATAAAGTAATTATATAACTCACTAGTTTATATAACTAACTTCCAAAAGATATCCCTAATCTAAACGAATCTTTATAAAACTTTCCTTATTTTTGCAGAATGGAAAATGGTAGAAGTAAGAATAATAAAAATTAGCGCAAATATCTTCCTGGGAGGTACTAGATTACGAGTCTTCCAAATTAGTGTTTGAAATTTTGGATTGTGCCTAAGCTTGAACACAAACTAATGGTGGTAACGAATATGCAACTATTTCAGACTCCATAGAAGAGCTTGTACTTAACGAACATGAATAATAAAGTGGACTCGGGTATTGAAAACTATGGAATCGTTACTATCGTATATAAATTATATCATCGGTATCGTATATATTTTTTTGAAATTACTGTCATAATAGGTTTATTTTGAAGGATTCATATTCGTTTATATATATAAAAAGAATACAAGTAAATAAGTTAGGTTAAAAAGAAAAAGGAAAAATCTTAAGACATACGATCACTGAGACAAACTATCGATAGACCATCGCGCTATCGAGTTTTGTTTGCAAAGTGTAACAGTCATACATACAAGCAAATAAAATAATACTGATTTCCATGTATCACAATTACATTTTTATACTAAAAAAAATGTAGTTCCCTTTTAATTGGTTTGGTTTGGCTTGTTTTGTTTTACGGCATATCAACCAAAATGCCGATAACATTTCTTTTTTTTTCAAAAATGTATAACAGGTAATTTTTTCAGATATGTATAGCTAGTAATATATTTTTTTTAAAAACTGTATAGTTTGGTTTGTTTTGTTTTGTAACATATTAACCTCAATGGGTTATTTAACGCTGACAAGGTTTTTATTCCTAGTAATATTTTCTTTTTTCAAATATTTATTGCTGATACTATTTTTTAAAAAGTATTTCTAGTATTAAAGTCTATTTTTACACTTTCATATTGCTTTAAGTCAGGTTGTGGGGTCAACTATTTGCCCATATCTGGGACCCTAACAGGTGCTACCACCCCGGGTCAGGGTGGACCTGGGAACACAAGTAATTAAGAGGTGGTTCTACGCTCCTCAAAACCTGATAAGAGGTTGAACGTAGTTTATCGTCGCACACAGGACGCGGATGTAGTTTATCGTCTTACCCAGGACGCGGATGTAGTTTATCGTCTTACCCAGGATGTGGATGTAGTTTATCGTCTTACCCAGGATGCGGGTGTAGTTTATCGTCTTACTCAGGACGTCCCTTTTAATTGAATTTGCATTTAAAGTAACATATCCAAAATGTAGTGGTTCATGAATAAGATTTTAATCAAATTTGTTAAAAATGTATTTTTACGTAATGCTGTTCATTAACCTTATATGATAGAAATAAAGTAAGAAGAAATTCTATATTTTTAAATTAAAAAAAATCTTACGATTTTAAAATTTACAAACCTGCCAGCAATGCTGGATGAGGCATGAGCAGCAAATCCTCCGTTAACAGCCATAGCTGTGATAAGGATATGAATAAGAATTGCGTATTTCCTCCTTGGTTTGGGGCTTTGTCTTGTGAGAAGGATCATACAGATTCCACATGTTGCGAAGACAAAGCAACCTGCAAAAAAAAAAAAAAAAAAAATGTAACACAGATGCATTTATGTGAGTTGATATTTTTGTGGTATAATTACTAATTTGGTGATTTCAATGTTATCAATATTATTCAGCTGTACCTTTTGTTCCAGGTTTTATAATAGCAGTTACACAACTCTCAGGACTTAAACGTACATAATGCTAGGGTCATCGATATATACCGCATGTATATAAGCTTAAAAATCTATGCAGGAGCTCTCGTGACATAATAAAAAACGAAAATATTTTTATACAACCTACACTAATACAACCTAACCTTAACCCTGGCCCCTTAAAGAGATATGTATGATAATCAAACATTGACATATTAAGATTAAATTGATTTTAATGACCTGGAGAATTAAAGATTCCCAGTTGTTGTTAAACTTGAATGTTCTCAGCATGAATCCTCTAAAAGAAATATTTAATCATTTCCTGCAATTTCTTATAAAAGATACAAAAATTTGGTGTTTATTGTGGTCGTGTTGATGTAGTTTATTTTCAGTATCTACGGGTCAGCTTCTTTTTAAGTATTGAAGAGGGGGAGAAGGGCTCCCTAAGTAGGTGAACTAACGAGAAGGGAGTCCCATAGCCTGACTGAACCGAGGCCGGTTTTGAATTCTTCTAGACAGGTTGCTACCCAAGGCTAAAGAACCCAGCCTGTCCTGTAATTTACCCATAGCTGGGTGGAGAAGAAGAGGATTCATATCTTTCCCAAGGGTATTAGCACGTAAGTGAATGTAATGGATCCGACATGAGTTTGAACTCGGCTCTCCGATTCCTCAATCTGAGCTGCTATCCATTACTCCTCTTAGATGTAGGGATTACAGTACACATATTGTTAGGATTTAGAGAGTTTAAACACAGCTTTGTATGAAAACGGGCCAAATTGGATCTGTCATGAACGTGTACTTTTCTCACAAGACAATGCATGCCCTCAATATGCAGTAAAATCCCATCTGAAAAAATTAAAAATTTTGACAGAAAAATTATCTGCTCTCCCTATTCTCAAGGTATTGTTCAATTTGATTACCACCTATTCCAGAATTTACAAACACATTTCCATCTAACTAAAAAATTTATGAAAAAGCTTCTGAATCATGAAAAGGAAAATGGTGGCACATGTTAATGACGGCACAATATAAATAAAAGACAAAAGGAAAACTCTTCTTTACCAACGGGTTACGTCCCCTGATGAGACATTTACCTTGATAATGTCTCTCAGTGGCTTGAGAACAGAGTATTTCCTTAAAAAAGGACTTATTAGAAAAAATCCAGGGCATAAGTTGACATTTTATTTCTTTAAAAGAAATAGTCATTTGCCAACTCAACATTCATTCTTTTTATGTGCCGTGTCCGTTCAGGACGTAGGCGATCATGGCTCTCCACTTCTCCTTATCCCTTGTAGTCTCAATAAATTTCGTCCCTCAGCCACCTCCTCCAGACCGCGTTCTGTCATCCACTTGCTTAAATCCGCCAGGTATGTCATGCGTTGCTTTTCCTTGTCTCTCTTTCCCTCTATTCGACCTGTGAGTATCAGATTCTCCAAGCCCTCTTTTCTCATTACGTGTGCCAGAAACGTCAGCTGCTTCTTCCTGATGTTAAATCTCCTCCTTGTTTATATCTTCACTAAGACCTCATCGTTGCTCACACGCTCGGTCCATGATATCCTCGTCATCCTTCTGCAGAACCACATCTCCATCATCTCGAGTCTCTTCTTCATCTTTGAGAAGACCGGCCAACATTTGCTGCCGTAAAGGAGGACAGATGCCACGTAACAGCTCAGTACTCTTTTCTCTGTGACCAAAGAAATCCTCCTGTCTCGCAATACTCTGCCCATCTTTTGGAATGCGTCCTTGACCATCTCAATACGCCTACGGATCTCAGTGTCGCATTTTTAGAACACTTCCCAGTCAATATACATGGCCATAAAATTTTTAAAAGAAATCTTAACTTTAAATACTTAAAATAAATAAATGCTTACTCCTTTTATCAAAATAAAACAATAATAACAAATATTAATTACATTAAAAACTAAATAAAAATTCAATAAGAACAAGATCAGTAACAATTACTCACTTTTGTTTATTAAGTAATAAATTATATCATTTATTGTCCTCCATAGTTTACCTTTCCTTGCTCAGTTAGCTTTAAGAATATTTTAGAGCGTTCTTAAATTTAACGTTAGAAAAGTGAAATATATCTTCGTCCACTTTATTTCTGTGTATAAATAAAAGTTACAAAAATAATAATTTACCTTGATAAATTCCCCCAGGGAACGAAAAGTGTTGTTAAAGAAAGTTTTTCTTTTTGTCTTATATATATATATATATTTTTATATATATATATATATATATATATATATATATATATATATATATATGTGTGTGTGTGTGTGTGTGTGTGTGTGTCTGTGTGTGTGTGTCTCTGTGTATTTAGGCAGCAATCCTTCTTTCATGCACATTTTATTGAATACGACAGACAAGGTGCTTTGATTTAGTTTTTTTATACAATTTCTCATGCGATCGAATAATTTTTTTCTTTTCGGATGATGAATTATATAAAAATTGTCTGAATGTTCTTTTTATCCTAGCGCTTTCGGCTATACATTTAGACATTTTCAAGGATTAAATATTTTAACTGTTAAATAAGAAATAGTTTGTTATATGTATGTTTTATAAAATGTTTTCATTTTTCAAATAAATAATGGAAGCCTTATTAATAAAAGCAAAAAAAAACAAAAAAAACAACACTTAATAATATTAACTTTGAACATGGACACAATATCTTGGCCGTGTTTTGAAAAATAAAAACATTTTATAAAACATACATACAACAAACTATTTCTTACTTAATTGAAATGTGCATATATATATGTATATATTTATATATATATATGTGTGTGTGTGTGTGTGTTTGTCTGTGTGTGTGTGTTTGTCTGTGTTTATTTTGATACCTATACTCGACTGGTATAAAAAAAAAAACAAAAAGCGAATAGTACAATTTGCAAATAAAAACATATTTAAACAAATTGGTATCTGGGGAAAAATTTAAAAAAAAAAAAAAAAGAAAAAAAAATGACTAAAAACATTCGGGCAGGTCGAAAAAAAAAAAAATCGTCTAACGCCGTAATGCCTAAACAAAAGAAAAACCCCAATCGAGTAAAATAAGAAAAAACGTAGCGTTCAATACAATTTAGTAGAGCAGAGTATATATATATATATATATATATATATATATATATATATATATATATATATATATATATATATATATATATATATATATATAGTTAAACTTAGAGAGCCAGACAAACCTACCAAGGTTTCACCTAACCGGATCGTCAGGGAAGGCGTAAATAAGAGACACAGCTCTTTATTTGTGACTGTATGTTTCACGTGCAAATCGATTTTCAGACGGTTCATACAAGCGACCAGTGAAAAGTTCACAACCCGAGCAAGGAGGATTTCTCCCTTAGATCCGCGGTTTCATCGTGTGGTTAGATTGTGGGAAGTAGCCAGGCGGAGAACTTTTCCCCATTATCGCAAATAATAATACAGCACAATACGCAAATTTGCACAATTTTTGTTCGTAATTTAATGTAAGCGACATTATTGCAGTCGCGACATCTCTGATGCCTTTGCAACACAAGGTGGTAGTGTCTTTATTATGAAAAGAGGGAACGGTGCGAAGAGATGTTTACGATTCGAGAAAGTGAAAAAAACAACTCAGTAATGAAGAATAGAATAATTGAAAAATATATTTAAAAAATCACATGTGAATAACATATAATAAGAGTAATAACTTAGCAAACTATGCCGTCATTTTCATGGTGTGTATATAAAAAGAAATGAATGTTTGACATCATGTATTATAAGAGTGAAATAATGGTCATTTCTGAATCATTTATATGCAATTACCATATTTTCGTGTAAAGTTTCAGTTTGAGAATTCAACCTGCAAGACTTAAAGGAAGAGTATCGGTGCATGTAAATTGTGATAAAAGAATTTATGGTTGAAATGTTCAATCAAATCAACAGTAATTTCTATATTAGACATTAGAATTAAACTTCCTTTACAGTCTTGTGAGAATCAAAGTTTGCATTTTAGAGAAGTCTTGCATACCAAAACTAAAACCTCTCCTACGCTATGCTAAATTTTATTATGAAAGTCATTTCTTTCTTAATGTAATTGGTATTAACCAAACGATTTTAGTAAAATTTGCAAGATATCATATTTCAGCTTATCACACTAACCTTTATTAAAAATATTGATTATAACTTGTTTTTTGGAACGTCAGGTTATTAAAACCTACAGCATACCCTATTATTTGTAGATAAATCCAAAAGATGTAGGTCATAACTAAATCCAAAAGATGTAGGTCATAACTAAATCCAAAAGATGTAGGTCATAAATAAACCCCCAAAATAGGTCATAAAACATGTTTGATTAATGCACTGTTTTTATAGTTGAATAAATTATTTTATTTTTTATATGTTAAAATGATCTTGAATTTAAAAATCATCCTGTCTTTCCATCGACTTTGTTTACTTTTATACTGCTTCAACTTTAACAATTATTGCAGCAGGTTTAAAAGTTCCCATATATTTTTTTGTGGTTGAATATTATTCTTCATTCTCATTTACATTTGTTTTAATGAAGTATCAAATATTTTTTTATGGATTAATAATTATCTGTATTGGGTGGATTACATTTCATTATTCTAGTGTCTTTGAAAACTTTCTTGACAAAGTTGGCAATTTTCAGCTTCATATAATGTGGAGAATCATTGCTTTGCATGTGTACATTCTTTGACTTAACGTTTTATATTTGTAAGCTGTTTCGTTCGAAAAGGCTTCGTCCTAATACTTATAATTACTTCCGTTTTTTTGTATCATTATTCTCTGTTGTGATGGTTGTTGAATGAAGAACCCAATCTTCAGGTCTATCCAATCTAGCTCTATATCTATCATTAAAAATTATTGT